GTAATATTTTGATCGGACCAGTCATTGCTTACGAAACACGGTATGCAGGCTGCGCCTAATATGGCTCGTAAAATTTTATACAACAGTCATACCATTGTTATCTGACACACTCCATTGGTTGCAGCGGTCTTTATCTTTCCCTATTCATTGAAACGGGATTCCAATTTTCAGTTGTTCGAATGTCGTCGTATCATTTGGGTTCGTGTTAAATCGTATTTTAAATACATTTAAAGTTATTTATTCTGAAATGTTATTATTTTGTGGGCCTCACGAAAAATATTTAATTCGAAAAATATATTAAAGTTATGAAAGGCTTATTAAAAGTAGTTAAATGAAATTGAAATATGAACGATGTCGTGCGTCGAACTTGCCAAGTCAGCCGACAAACACACAAATTGAAAAAAAAAAATAAGACAAAGTGATCAAGTGAGATGATTTAAAAAAATATTAAAAGAAAAAAAAGGCTTTTAAGTTGTATTTGTCATTGGTTGTACTTCAGGAAATAATGTGGCAGCTCCACAAAGCTTCATTGTTCGCAATAAACAGGCATGAGACTTGTAGTTTGAAAAGGGTGTCTCGTGATCGTTGCGTAACACCTACGGTATCCTTCCATTCAGGTCGGGCGTGGGTGACAAAATTATTTTAGCGTCTCATTAGTCTTGGTATTTATACAATGTTGTGTTTGTATTTTGGGTTAATCGAGCGAGTTACGGCGATTATTATGTGACAACCAGTTTTTTATACATCTTTTAGTTACGTGAGTGTAGATTATATTTCACATTGTATTTACAATATTAGTAATATAATAATTTTCTGCAGCTAAGGTCAGCAAAATATAAAATGAATTAATGCTAAATATATACGCATAAAGAAAATTAACGATGGAAATTACGAGCCATTGAAAATCATTGTGTTGTAATTGTATGTATATTTTTTTGACATTTACCAATATTATTTTTGCTGTTTACTTTCTATAAACTTAAATGCTAAGCGGTGTCTATCGTTACGCCCATGAAATAAAGGAGCAAAATTGAAAGCACGAAGTTCCTTAAAGGAGTTTCATTGTGTTCTTTTTTAATATTTATTAAATAAAAGGTAATTACAGTTTATAAAGAGAAAATCACCGGTCTTTCTTGACAGCTAATACTGTACGAGTAATGGCATGGCTAGCGCAAGATGTTCCACACAGTGTACTTGTGAATCCGAGCGTACTTAACGCGAGCTTACGGGCTCCATTAACACAAGCCAAGTGAAATTTTCACATTGTAGTTGTTACGGAATAGATAAGCAGCAACTACACACACGGTTGCTAAGAGGTCTTTAAAGTATGCAATTAAAGGTCTGGCCTACTATAAGCCAATTAGGCTTAAACACAAATTATACGGAAACCGTGGCGATCCTAGATGCTTAATATTTAGTTTAGCGAACATAATTCTAGGTCACCTATTAAAACAATATTGATAATGGATTGAGAAAGCGTATTATGATATGGAACAATAAATTCAGTACAATAATAGAACAATATAATAATCAGCGCATTTATATGAATAGTATATTAAAATTCTTTAGAACATTTTCCGGCATCTATTCAATTGAACTACTGACAATTATTTAATTGACATATATAGATTATCTGTTGTTGCTTTTCATCTTTTAATCGAAGTGTAAAATATTTCGCATTTAATTTGTGCAGTTTTTACGTGTTTGTCTACTGTTAGAAAGCAACTGTACAGCTATGGATGGTTGCCGTTCCAGCTCATTTAAATCAAGGTGAGCCTTGGGGTACAAGTCGCAAATTTCTTGCCAAAAACGGAAAGCTGTTACTGACAACAGGGAAGATAACGGAATTTTATAGCCCATTCGGACAAATTCGACGCTTAACGATCGCGTTGCAATGGCAAACGGGTCGCATCCGTATGCCCTCTATCTCTGAACGTATTGAATGCTTATCATCGAGATAGGCGTCTGCACAAGTCACGTTTCAAGATAACTCCCGAAGCGTGACTGGACAACGACGTTGTGGTTTACTGCAGACGCTGAAAGTAAACAAGACGAAATGGCGACAGCATCTGTTGTGAGTAGCCGAAGGCTGCTAAAAGTTTAAGAGAGATCTGTAGGCTATGTTAAAACCTCTATTTATCTTTACGCTAAATAAAAAAAACATATTATTACTTAAAAAAAACACGTCATCTGTTACTTTTTTGGTAAGCGATTATATATGTATATATGTTTAAGGATGAAGCAACGCGCATGTTGTATTTAATTTGTTTATTCTATATTATTAAATGATGGTATCAACTGGTCTCAGTAACATTTTTTTATGTGGATAAAGTCCATTAAGAAGACAAGCGGTTCATCTGATGTTAAGTAATGCATCTGCCACGTAGCTGCTTGAAATTCTGTTAAGAGTGAAATAGTCTCGTTATGAAGCATATCTCGTCATTACGTTAAAACCTGATTCCGAAAAAGACGAAAGCGTGGGTAAAATAAATAATTAAGTACTTTTTTATGTGAGGGAGTGGTAAACGAGTTTGCGGTTCACCTGATGTTAAGTGATGTCCGCCACCCATGGACATTTGTAACACTCGTAGGGTTGCAAATGCGTTGCCGGCTCCGGCTACCTCACTCACTAGATGAAACGCAGAGTGTAACACTTCTCTACTTTACGCCGGTCTTCTGTGAGGTTGTGGTACTTACCCGGACGGACCTGCCCATTCGCGCAACAGTGTTGCGTGGCCCTACGACCGCAATCTATTATTTAATACAGTTAAAGTGGAGCTATATAAAGACATAAATCCATCCTTATACAGTGGTAGGACTACGCAGCAGCCTCGGCTGTTGCACGAATGGGCAGACCCGTCCGGATAAGTACCACGACCTCACAGAAGACCAGCGTAAAGTGCAAGTATGACAAACACTTTCGCGTTTCGTCTGGTGAGTGAGGTAGCCGGAGCCCAATTTTCAAAAGGTTGTCAACGCATCTGTAACCCTCGGGTGTGGCAGATGTCCATGGGCGGCGGTATTCACTTAACATCAGGTGAACCGTCTGCTAGTTTGACAACTTTTCGCATAAAAAAAAACATAGGATGCAGCGTGTTTCGGAGGTGTATATGATATGTTAGTGATTACTCATCCAGAACGTATATTTTTTTGATTTAAAGAAGATGGTATGATGGTATAGGGGATAGCTTGTGCTTTATAATACTTCGGTTTGTAGAAACGATTACCTTTAAAGCTGCAAATCAATTTCAGGCCTTTGAGCTAAGTTAAGCTTATGGTACGGCTATGGGATAAAAATAAATGAGAATGGGTACGGTACTTTTTTAAATAATACCTAAAACAGCCATACTACAATAAATGAAGTAAAAAGAGAGAACGACAATAGTTTGACAATAAAAAAAATAAGCGGGGCTTTTTCCTGTTCGACAAATATGCCAGTGTTAGTAAAAAAGAACAGCAACGAATCTCGTCAATTTATCGAATCACCCCTAAAGGATGCAATGCGATTTATGCAAACATTTCCCACGACGACTTCTATGTGAGTTGTGGCGATTTTATTGGATGATTGTCACATGCATCGATACGAACGTGGGGAGGAGGTAAATCCGCTACAATTGAGCGGTCTGGTGCTCCTCCGGGACAAACGATTGGACGGTTTGTCTCTGGCCACTTAAGTCAGAATAACAATTAATTTATACCCTCGATTCGATTGATGAGGAAATTCTAAAGAGAAATTATCGAACTGATGTTTGAAAGAAAATTTCGAAAGCTTTGTTGCGCCCTTAATCACGGGACAGACGATAGTGTTTTACGTCTAATATCTGCACTCAGTGCTTTATTAACTGCGAGTCGTGTCGATAATATTCTGCCAAATATTGCAGTAATTGCATAAATGCTCAATGAAGTTATATCAAATTTGTCTGCTATTATAAAACCTAATTAATGGAGTGTACGTGAAATATCTGGAACAAGACAGTTGTTGGCTGTCTCGTCATTCAATATGGGTACCAATTTACTTTGACCTTGTCACCTTTAACAATCTGCCACATCTCAGTGCAGTTCAAATGACAGTGTGCTCTTGGTAGAATGAACACCCTTTATGTATATTTAACCACTGAATGCTATAAATAGGTAAATATCACACTTTACAGTTATAATTTTCCTGTAAACATAAGACTGTTCATCTCAATCACAAGTATTAAAATTCATGGATATTACTGCAATATGTAATAATGTAATTTTCTAAATAATTTTGTAAAAAAACAATGTGTAAAAGTGTGTAATTGTAAAAAAAAAATTATTCATATCAAATTCCATACCTACTTAATCATATATTAATAAGATTAGAGCGCATTTACTCTCATATAACTTGTTTTATTGAATTTCTGTTTCTGTGTATGTTTCATCTAGAGTGAATAAATTTTGTAACAGTCAACAGTTTGTTATCATTAGATGTGATATCATTAAAGGCTGATATTGTAAACATCCTTTGATAAGCAAAACTTCAAGAACATAAAACAAAAATTTTATCTACTGGCAATTTTACTTTGTTTAAGTTAATAACTGTGCTTGTATGCAATTTCAATTTCCTGTCATTTTTTATTATCTTAATTAATAGAAATAAATTCAATAAAAAATGTTACAAATAAATAATTAATATTAAGATGGCAAAAAAGATTTCGTCAAAATTTTGTTTATTTTCATAAAATAATTATAGTTTGAATAATTTTAGTATATTTTATAGCATAAAACCTATAGTCAGATACCAAAAAATTGAGTTATACATAATAATTTAGTTAAATCTAAAATATATACTTTATGTAATGTACCTAATATGAACGTGATATAAACCAGTTATGTAAAATATTATATTTTGGAGGTAGTCAGAATTATTTCTGAACATGAATTAAAAACTTACTTTATATATGCATACAAAGAGGGGAAGTAGTGTAAATAAAAAATTACCAAAGATACAAATGAAACAAAGACAAATGACTCACTCGTTGCAATTCTAGGGAGTGTTGGTAACATCTGAGAAGTTTATCCACCAGTGGTTTGACAGCGCGCCAGGCTCGTTCTTGAGTAATACGGGAAGGGTCCGCAATAGCTTCTCGGATTTCTTTTCCAGCTCCTTTGTAACACTGTATCTCCTCCAAAATCTTTTCGGAATCCAAGAGAACCCGTTGCACTTCTTCAAAAACATCGCGCTCTGTGTCCGTGGGTGCAGCATTTTCAAAATCCAAGAAAATGTCGTATCGAGGAGACGAGCAACAATTCGAATCGTCACGTGCCAACAGACTCAGCAATTTCCCCATGTTTTAGAAGTTTTAAAAATTATTTGAATATTATAAAGATATAAAGGCTTTATAAAAATACCATTGCCTGAATGCCAATTATGTATTAATGTATAACTAAAACTTATATAAATACACTTGCACTAGTGAATTAACAAGGAAAATATTCAATCTGAAATAATATAATTGAACAATTAATAATAATTATTCAAAATAACCGTAAAAGAGTAACAGTCGCACGCATCTACTATCTAGTAACGTCTGCTGCCCCACCAAACTAACTGATGCGACCACAGATTATTACGTATATTATTGACATATTGACATTTGAACCGCTTACAGATACAGATTATCAATACAGTTGGCATTTCGATGTATCGAAATACAAGGGTTTTGATTTATAATTAAATTTTTTAAATTTATACTTGGTGATGATTTCATTTCTTATTCAATTGTTAAATATCATGAATTCATATTATAAGAAATGATATTGGTATATTAATTCTTACTGCATTGTATATATCTGTCTTTGGTCATGCCATAACTTGAGAACAACTTTACCGATTTTTTTTTCTTTAATAAATGGCTTCTCTTAAAAAACTTTACCGATTTTATCCATCTTTTTTTATAACTGTCACTGCGTTATACTGGTTGCGTGTTTGATACATTGTGAGAAATGTCAAACGACTGACAGTTATGTCAAACGTCAATCGTAGAAGTCGATTCCTGCTTAGTGAGTTTTTTTGCGAAGTGTTTGTTCATCACGGTTAAATCACAGCAATCACGCCTTTTATTAAAAGTTTAGTTTCGTTTAATTCAATGTCGGTTTTTTGTATGTGTTGTTTTAGACCGTAGTGAAAATGTTAATAACTTTAACGTCGTAATTAAATTAAAATAAATCATGGTAAAGGTAAATAACTTTAACTCCGGCGTAATTCAAATCAAATAAATTTTAAACGATAGAGATAAATCTCTAATGAATTAATCAACAAGCAGAATTCGGCGGTCGCTTATAGTTTTCGAGAAAAAAAAAAAAATTTAAACTTGTTTTTTGTACTAAGAAATCCACCATTTTATTTGTTTGACTTCAAAAACTCAATACACAGTTCTGCCAACATGATAAATATAGGAAGCGGGCGACATCATACACGTATCGATATTCCGATTTTTTTTCTAATTTAATGAGTCACAGAACCGACACAGAGCGAATCCGACTCGGATAGATTAGGTTAGAAGGTTCAGGCGGGAGCGGAGCTCCCGCCTTAACCTTCGATGTTAGGTTTTTTTTTTATGACCTCCAAGAAATACGAGCTGAATTGAGATATTGACACCAAAAAAAACTTTTTTAAAATACTCACATTTTTATATCATCGGCGGGTAGAGGACACTCACACTTCCAGAAATGGTGCAAACGTTCTCCAGGTTCGGGGAAAATTTTACGAAAACCAGATAACCAATGAAGTCCACATTTAAAACATTTAACAGTATTTACAAGAACTCCACGACGACACAAAAAATTAAAAAGGACTAAACGATCTGATTCTGATTTGAATAAAATTTTATAAAAAGAATAAAAACTTAAATTACAATATGTACATAAAATATCACTACCTACTAATAGACGCACAAATATTATCCGTCATTGCAAATACGAATAACCACTATTCTATTGTTTTTAAATAATGAGCGGGAAATACTTCCGGTTTAAATTTAACATACGATTAGGCACCGAAAAAATTATATACAGCCAATATACTAATATCGATTTTGAAACTCGATTACAAATTTTATTAAATCTTGGTTAAAAGCCCTTAACTTATTAAAAACTAAATATCAATGTATTATAAACTAAATATAATAATGAAATTACATTTTTTATATTTATTATTTTTATTTATTTTCATTACAAAGCTTTTAAAATCTTCATCTTTAACTTATTTGTTGTTTTATGTAAAAAATAATAAATATTCAAAATTAATTACTTCTTTATAAAGTTTGACTCTTCCACGTGCTTCGCCAGAACACTCGCTATGTCGCCCCTGAGTGTCGCTTCACCCTCCGACGCGAGGTTCTGGCTCCGCCTTATTATGTTCACTCTAGGGGTAGGGACCACAAAACCACATGGAGTCGGGGTGCTCTGTGTCGGATCTGGGACTCATTTTGAACCTTATCTAATCGGAAAAGGGTCCGTGATAAATTAAAAAGATGCAACCATAAACCTAACCAATTAGTAAATAAATGTTAAACCTAATTTAGCTTATTTCACAGTAATTTAAATTGTAAAAAAATGTAATCGATATTAAATTAAAAAAAATGTCCATAATATTTCAATATGAATAACGTTGGTTTATTTGGTATTGGCGCCTAATATTTAAGAGTTTTCTTGGATTATAACCCACACACACACACACACGCACGCACGCACGCACGCACGCACGCACGCACGCACGCACGCACGCACGCACGCACGCACGCACGCACGCACGCACGCACGCACGCACACACACACACACACACACACACACACAAACACACACACGCCCGCGTGCGAGGGAGGCGCATACGAGCATTATGTATGTTGAAAATCTTTTAATTTTCTTGTAATTCTTTTCTAGATGTTTAAAAATATGCATTTTAGTACCAACGACTTTGTCTTCAACATGTCCGTTATAAATTGAAAATACTATTTAAATAATGTAAATCCGTTTTTGGCTATAATTTAAGATCATAAGATGTACGTACGATGTAAAAAAGAGCTGTGGATTTTGTGTGAAATGAAATAAAAATAAAATAAACTATATTTGATTATTAACATTTCCTAAATATTTCAATCAAAATGAGACATTGATTGAAATATTTAGGAAAAAAAATTAATGGAATAATCGCTAGGACATTTTTTCCTAAATATTTCAATCAAAATGAGACATTGATTGAAATATTTAGGAAAAAAAAATTAATGGAATAATCGCTAGGACATGACGTCGCCCGCTTCCTATATTCATCTTGTTGGCAGAACTGTGTATTAATTACGTTGGTGAATGGCGGATTTTGTTAGTGAAAATAACAAGTTTTAAATATTTATTTCTCGAAAACTATAAGCGACCGCCGAATTCTGCTTGTTGATTAATTCATTAGTGATCCCTCTCTATCGTTTAAAATTTATTTCAATTGAATTACGCCGGAGTTAAAGTTATTTCCATTTACCCAGTAATGTTATTTTAGAATATTATAATCTTACAAATGAGTTTCTAAATATATTATCAAATAAACTTTTTGAAACAGCAAGGACAGGTTATGGTCAGACTTGCACTCCCATGATATTCAACCTAAAACGCATATCGGCACGGCCATGGGAACGCTTCCGCACACTTACAGGACTGACAGCACTGGCCGCCTCGGCAGACTTCTCGGGGAACAACTCCCTTCTTCTCCATGTAAGGCACGCTTGAACATTCAATCGCTAGGTGTTTGTGGCATCAATCTAAAATCAATCTAGAAAATCCACGTTTTTCACATAGCCAATGGTATGTCGTTTGTTCCTGCCGAAAAACTATCAACATAATTTATTTTCTTTCCAGAAAACAAAAAGAAAACAATACTGTTTTCTTGATTTTACGCGAATATTATTCATATTAAATGAAACTAGTTTACGGATTGTATCGCGTTTTTAATTTTGATTTGAACTCCCGAAGTTTCGAACCCTTTCCAGCGTTTGTGGTCACGGGACAGACTAAGTTGTTATACGTCTTGATGTCATAGTTAATCCCGGCTACCGTCAATTATTTTGTTTATTTTTATTCCGATTCACGCAGAAGGAGCTTATGGTATCTTGAAGCTGGCAGTGTTGGTGTGCTTGGATTTAATTTTATAAAATATGGGATCCCAAGCAGATGATAAACTCCAACCATCTTCTCTATTGAAATTAGGATGTTTTTTTATTTCAATAGCCTCGTGGATCATCCTTGGAAGGAATCGGTGTTCTTTTGCGAGGATTTTCGGTTAATCAAATCTAATGTAGTGGTTGGGGCGGTCTAAAATATGATCACAAACTGCAGACTTCTTGAACCGTCGGTGCTTAACGTCAGCTATGTGTTCTTTAATTCTGGTTTTAATTGATCTTTTTGTTTGTCCTATATAAGAGAGCCCACAATCGCAGTCAAGCTTGTACACTCCTTGATCTTGTAGAGGGATATTACACTTGACAGATGGTAAAAATTGAAGTATTTATGAATGACTACCACATTGTCAACACGTTCTATTTTGTAGGGAATAGAATGGCAATTTTTGGAAAAAAAGAACTTTGTTTTTTACTTCAATAAAGGATTATACTACAGAGTCTGAACCTCCTGTGAAAATTTGGGCACTTCTCAAAAAATCTCCCTGTGTACCTATAAAAAAATAGTTTGAAAGAAATTGTACAGCCACGATAACTCCCAAAAAATGGACGTATTGAGACCGGGTTTTCTTTATTATCTTCAGAATTACATCAACTAGTACTATTAATATGTACTAACTAATATCAATTTACTACCTATTTAATTTAAATAGCCTAGAAGTCGTACTTTAAAAATAAAACTGTTTTTATATCTATATATTAATACGTGAATCAAAAACTCTGTACACCGTTTTACTAAAATTACGCGGACGATAAATTTCACACACTTACAGTTTATATAAAGGAGTTCAGAATGCTAATATATTTTTTTAAATATTCATAAAAAATAAATTAAATCAATATAGAAAACATTACACACTATCATGCATTTGTCACACACACGCATTTATAGTTTTTTGAGAATAGATTGATATCTTTAAAACTTATAATTATTTAAATTATGGTTGAATTTGGACCACTCGGCGACCACCACTATTGTTAAATTGTCTAATAGAAATAAGTCAACGGTGGTATGACTTGTTTATTTTCTAAAAAATTTAATAAGACTTCCAACTTTTTAAGAAAGTATACTGTCGATCGGACTGTCGACGTTAACCAAAATGGTCATGGTAATTGCATGGATGGTAATCCACTAGGTCCACTTGGGGAATACAAAAAATTAATTTACATTTCATTTCATTCGTTTCCATAGAATGGTGGTGTTTATATTAGATTTTTATTCCCAAACATATAAAAGGACTTACCGATACTTAAAACGTCCACGATTCCTCTGAAGGGGTGACAACGCATATTGTTTGTAATAAAAAGTTTGTTTGAGTTTTCCAGTGGTCAGTATTATTGTTATCAATAATTCAAACGTTTCCAGGCTTTATTTATTTATTATAATACGTGTATAACATCGACACATCGCCATTAAACATACAAATTATGTAATTTACAAATAAAATTTAGTCTTTATATTTACATATGTATTTTTTTCTTTACATAGTGCCCAGTTGCTACGATGTGAAGTAATTCAATGTATATAATTCCGTAGGCAATTAAAAAAAGGCAAATATATGAACTCCTTATTAAGATGTCAAAGTTTTATATCTGATGATAATTGGAATTAACTTATCATACTCGATTTATTATTGGAGCATAAGTTTACTTTATTCCAATGAAATATGAAACAGGTGCTCATTGAGAAAAAAATAATAAATATTTGCATTTCTTTGACTTAAATGAAGATCAGACACTTCAGTATCATCACGATTATTAAATTGGAAGCGATACAAATATCTAACATAATAAAAAAGAAAACAACTTTAAATTCAAATCAGTTTTGGAACGAGTGTAACTAGAGTTTTTAATCCCCTGTATAAAATTCCACCACAACTACCGAATAATAGACAAATTGGACAGAGTGATATATTAAACAATTTTCCGAATATAAAACAATGATTACCACAAACAAGAAAAGGTAATAATCTACGAAACTTATCAATATCTTAATAATCGTATATTTTTAAAGATCAGTCTAACATTCGATAAAAATTTACAACTTTTATGTTCTAACATTTCATATTGATTAAGGCTATCACCATAATTTAAGAGGTCGGACCACTAACGTATATTGCATGATGTCAAAATTCTATTGCATTGAATGAAATAGAAGCATGAATTTCTTTGTATAGAAAGTTAAAACTCATTAAAATAATTAAAACTAAATATTTACAATATAAATAATGTATGTGGGTGTTGTGCTATTGGAAAAATTTATGAGTTTATAGTTAATGACTTAAAATTGTAATTTGAAATTAACGATGATTATTATACTCGTTAAGGCAGTCTAAGCATGTTTCATTTTTGATTCTTATATATTTCAGTATAATTTTTTATATTATATTATTTATCTTAGGATAGCAAATAACCGAAGAGTTTAATTTAGCGCAATTATACTCGAATTCCTTCATTGATAATAAAATATTATTAGTACAATCCATATCTTTGTCTATATAAATAATTTAATACAACTTAAAATGTCCAAGAAATTACGTGTTCTAAAAAATCGTATTAAATTAAGTATTATTCTTAAAATCCAAAATATTATAATGTTGAACTAAAACGTCAACCGCTCTTTGTGTAGGAATGGATATATCAAAGGCAATTACATAAATTCTGTATAGTACCCATCCAGTACATTTCCATTCATGACACAACAATCAATTTTAATAACTAATACAAGTAATTTCTACCATATCTACATTCGCTAAATTGTAGTCTTACATATTTGGTGTAAAGATCCGTCTTAACTCTACCTAATTCAAATGCGGCTCATCAGTTATTAATTTCCACGATAAAGCTCGCAGTCATTCTGAGTTACAGGCAAAAAAAAAGAACATAAGGCGAAATATCACACTTTTTAAAAAGTTTCGGAGATTTGGGACTTTAATGATAATTATTCATAGCTTTATAGGGAAAAATTAAAATATGTATCGACAAGAACAGAAAGCGATTCCATACCTATTTAAGTAACATTTATTTTAGAAAATAAATGCAAAGAACCATAGTTGCTAATGTTCGAATCACAAATAAAATTTGTAATCAATTAAGAAACCTATCGTTAAATAAAATGTAAATTTAGGTCATCTAAGAGTATGAAAGAATCTGATAATTTTTTTTTTATGAATAATAAATAAAAAAAAGTTTCCTCTATAAGATTGGGAAGATTTAATTGTTAATGAGCCTGTTTCGGTAACTAAAATGATGAGTTAAGTTGTGTCGCATTCGAGGTACTAAAGTTACATAAGGACAAAAACGCTACGATCTTAATAGTCCATAGCCTACATTGTTGCTTGGTAGAAAAAAATCACAACCTAAGAATAATTGTAAGCTTTGCAATAAAGAAGTTGATAATAAAATTTGACTCTAGCGAAATGGTATATGGCTGATTTTTAATGAACTTTAGAGCCAATCAGTGCAGTGGAAACGTTTTTGTGCAGAACGAAAATATTTTCTACGCTACAATATAAAATAAGAAAGACTCGTCTTTCTTACATAAATGTTTAAGTAGATTAAAAAACATAAAAACAGACAATCAGATTTTCAAATTGCACTTGAATGTTTGAACGAAGGGAATTGTCCTCGATCGCATTTCAAATCTCCGCCCGAGTGTTGGTTCACCGGAAGTATTTGAGCGCGGAGACGAGCAGGAACTTCTCTATGAACAGGTCTGAGTCCAGGGCCGCTATGTGGGCGGCTCGGCCGACGAGGGCGCTGGCGGTGTGCGGCAAAGCGTGCTGCACGTCATATCGGACCACCGACACCGTAGACGCCCGCGAAGCTAACGGCGACACCATATTGTGTACCTGGAATGTATATGCGGACATTGCCAATGCCGGTCGCTTGTAACGCTTAATAAAGCCGAAATATTAATAGAATTACTTTATTATTCCATACAAAACGCAAATCTCTTCTTTCATAAGGATATTAAATATAAAAAAAATAGCGATGGCCAATACTTTTACTTGAACGTAGTCAAGGCAAATGTAATTGAAAATTTTCCTTCATGGACCACGCGTTGGTTTCTGCTGTTGCACGAATACGCTTAAACTCTTCTAACTCCTTTAAAGGTTAGCAATACATTTCCAACTCTAAGGGTATTGTTAATGTCCATGGGCGTTGGAAAGCACTTAACATCAGATAAACCGTGTTAACGCACTAGTGTTCTCACATAAAAATACCGATTTATATGTTAAAAACACTGAGAACTAATATGGGTATGAATAACTCCGACACTTACATATTGTCTTCTCGCTCATGCGGATTTTAAATTACTACATTTGTAACATTTAAAATTAGCAATATTTATTTCTGAACATTTGCTTTCATCGCATAACTACATCTAAAATGAAAACTTACCATTTCTCTGTAAGCTTGACCCAACAATGAAGTGTCTTTCGCAGCAGCTTTACAAAGCTCTAGGCGTGCGGAATGTAAGGGCACATATCTGTCTTGTCCGGAGCCACAGAGCAGAATATGTTTAAATTGATGCAATTGGCTTCTTTCACTCAGCCGATAGAGAAAAGAGCGTCGAGGGTCAGATGCATCGCGCAGTGAAAGCTGAAGCAATGATCCTGACTTCTTCCACTTTTGCATGAACCACATCCCTGTAATTATTGACATTATATTTTAAAATGACGTATCATTCTTTACATTGTGCAAGCCATTATAGGTATCACATGTTCTTTATTTTATGTTTATTTTGTTCACTTGCATTACAAATTTCCAACGACAGTATTTAATTTAAATCAAGAATGACAAGATTTTTAAATTTTGGTATAAGCAATAAGCTTCGATTATTTTGCAATATTTTATGAATAATTTTTATGAAGTCAATAGCGTAATGCAAATAACATACCAGCATTTACAAGCCCGCTGGAGTTGTACAACGTGCCCAAGTGAGGTCCACTAAGTGAAAGGAAAGTATGGAGCTTTCCCAAATATGGTTTCATTTGTGGTCTCGCTAGTGCTGATCTTATAATAATAGTGCCTAAAGAGTGGCCTACAAAGCTTATTCTAGCTGGCTCAGTTGAATTTTGTATATGCGTTATAATTTCTTGGACGAGTCTGTAACATAAAAAAAAGTAAATAAACATTTGCCGTCAATTTTTCCACTATAATTTCTCATTAATTCATAATTAAGGTTACAACATATATATATCGGCAGATAAAAATTTTACTTGAATTTCCCCAGAGATTGAAACTATTGAATTTATAGATCGAATAAAGACAATTATTTTTATAGAGAAGGTGGACTTTTTAAGTAATTTATGGTCTAACAGAATCTTACCTGTCAGTCATGGTATCAAAATCGGAAAACGTATCCCCTTGATTTCTTTCAGACATCAGAAAATCAAGTCTGGCTCCCGGTAGTCCAAGTTCCAAATACGTCTTAACTAGTCTCAAATCTGCCGCATTACCATCTAATCCGTGCACACAAATTATGAGATGTAGACCTAGAAGAATTAATTTTAAATATCTACTTAATACGTGTAATTTGGTAAGTATTTATCCTATATGGACGATAAATATTTTTATAATTAATGTCGTTATGTAAATTGCAGAAAAAATACAGTGATTTATTTGTTATTTTTTTGTCTTACCTTCTGTGTTAAACATGCGGTATTCATCGCTTATATGAAAGTATGGCAGGGTATTTTCTACCGGGGGGAAATCTGAGTATATGGCTCCAGGATACTTAACACTTTGCCTAAATTCATCCCTGCACTTTATGAATAAACGTTCGGATTCTGCCAGTCCAAATATACTAACGAGGTTACTTTCACGTTGTTCTGAAATTAAAAAAAAAAAAAAAGAATTTACACATATCTTCGTTGCGAAATTTCGTACGTGATTGTTTTATAGGTACATTAATAATTTTAACTATAAAATGAACTACATAAAACAATAAGTAAGTGATGCTTAAGTGTTTTCTGTTAAAAAATTTCTACACGTAAATGTAAAGCTTTGAGTAAAGTTCAATAAAAAAAGCTTATTACCTTTGTTATTTCCATTCTCATTTCTAGAAGCAAGTTCTCCAGTGCTTTGGCTTTTATTAAGCGTGCTTGTTGAAGTTGTTGTTGTTGAATTCATTGATTGGTGAGGCCTTAGTTTGCGCCTTTCAATTATTCCTGGCGTATCAACAGCGTATTGGTTAGTTTGTTATAAAGCAGAAGCATGAAGCATTTAACTATTTGTAGATGTTTACCTTCGCAGACATGGTACAATGGGTTATCTAATTGTAAAGTAGATGGTTGAGTTGCTTGTTTCCTTGGTGTTTTAGAGGGAGTTGAGGACTTGCTGCTTTGCCTACTAATTGCGGGTGACTTTGATGGTGGATCCTGAAAATAAAAAATATCAATTTTTTTCTAGTCAACAAGTGTTACTTTTTTATGTTTTTTATCTTACCTTAAAAGCATCAGGTGGTGGAGGAGCGTCCCTAAATTGTTGCGGTGGTGGTAAATGTTCGTACTCATGTTCAGCACCAAAATGACTTAAGTCTACTTCAGATTTAGCTTTATTTTGATACTTTTGTATATTAGCAGCAGATGTAGGGGAAGATTTTTTTGTATGGCTTTTGCAGGAGCGATCTACTGTTAAACTACGTATTTCTGCAGCCAAAAGTTTCTCTGTATATTCTATTCTGTCCTTCAATTTCGTTTTTTGCAGTGTGCCAGACTTAGCCGGCAATTGTTGCACATTAGTTGTTATTTCTTTACGTATATAGGGATGTAGATCATCACCACTTGCTTGAGAAGTTTTAATATTACTGTCATCGGAAGAAATATTAACAGAACTGAAAGGTTTGACTTGTATTCCACTAAAAGAATTATGTCTTTGGTTTATTTTACCCCGATTAGGTTCAGAGTATTGCTGAAAACAGCTAGCTGTGCATGTATCAGAGTTACAGCCTGTATCAATACCGTTGCTGTGCAATATTTTATTGTACTCACATTGGCTATCCGTGCAAATTGAATCACTACAAATGGTACATTCTTCACATACTTCCTTATCACAGCATTGTATCTTTTCACTTGAATTTTGGCCAGTTTTAACTGCAAGTTTTAATAACCGCTCTCGTAACTGTTCACCATTTAAAACCGTTCTCTTGAAATCACCAACTTTTTCACCATCGTGAGTTTTGCATTCTGGTGCTGTGTCGTAAATTTTATTAGAACGTTTAGAACCCGGTGATTTGTTACTTGGTGCAAAGTTTTGATTTAATTGACAACTTCCATTATCAGGAGTGGATGGTCCTGAGCTTCCACCACTGGAAACCCAACCACTCTGTTCGCTTAAACTAGATGTTGAATTACTACTTTGTTTCTCTTCTTTGCCTATAAAGTTCTCAGGTGGTAAGATTTTAAAATCCTTATCTGTTATATCTAATAGAGGTGAGTCAAAATCAGGTGGTGGGGCTAAATTTGGTAAGGATTCTGACCCAAAAGTGTTATGGAGATTAGGTTCATCTAAGACTGATGCAGCACTTCTACAATGTCGTAATTCAGCTCCATGATCAAGGCTGTATGGAACACTTGCAGATGATTCTAATCTTCTAAGTTCAAATGGTATACTCTCATTACTAGAAGATGACGCTGCTTCTGACATTAATTGTGTCATTTTTTCCGAAGGTTTATGTTTAGTGCGTTTTTCAGGCTTACCGCTGGATCTACCACTCTTTGGTGTCGTTGTTCCAGATTTTGGTGTCATTCTTCCAGATTTAGGTGTAGCCAAACCTGATCTTGGAGTAATTCCACCAGATTTTGGGGTAGCTCTGCCCGAATGAGGTGTTGCTCTATCGGATTTTGGGGTGCTTCGGTCAGATCGTGATGCATGACGATCAGATTTACTATCCCTTGATCTTATAGAATGGTGGCTACTGAGTGAATCTCGGCTTGAATTTATTTTCGCTGTTTCTTTACCACTATTACTCAATCTGGATTCTTTAGATCGACTTCTTTTGTGCCTAACTGATGGTATTGTAGAATGCGGGGTTGATGGAGGTGTTTTGGAATAAGTTGATTTTGAAGTACCATCGCTACTCTTGTCTAAAGTCATTACAAACCCACTGTCATCACTGCTTTTACTGGATTTCTTCTGATAGTTTTGAATAAGACTTCCAGTGTTAAAATCATAACTCCAGTCTCCTTTTTGAAGATAATAATTTAATTCATGTCGCAATTGATTACGGGCTGCTTCGATGTCAATTTGTTGTTGTTGTTGGCTATCTATATTTTGATGAAAGACGTGTGTAGAGTTAGATCTATGAACATGTTTATTAGATAATAAGTTACTTTGATCAGTAACTTGTATCTTTCCACTAACTGGCGGGTAGGAATTACGGGGAGGCAACATAGGACGGGGCAAATTAACTCTGTAACCTCTTTGAAATTCTAAAGGATTACGAATTATATTATTTACTTGCAGAGTACCCTGATTACCGAACGCATAACCATAAACTTGGTTTGGATTAGTTTTCACGCCTCCATCATATTTATATCCTATATTTTGGAATACCTCGTTGTTTATTCCATGCATGTTAATGTTTTGATTACATGGATTTTTGTATTTCTCCCTGAATTCATTGATATTCCTTCTATAATCATCGCCTTTAGTTCCACACCGGGTAGTTGTACTTGTTGGATATGAAGTTGTTGTCACACTTCGTGGCAGAGTGGTGGGTTTCATTTGTTGTGGCGGTTGATACGGTTTGGGGTAATTTACAGATGTATTAGAATTATTCCTAACAGGCTTTGATAGTGTTTGTGCACTCAGAGGAGTCATTTGCGAAACTCTTAACTGATCTAGGGACTTACTATGTCTCGCTGGCAATGTACTGACACCGCTCGTGATAGCATGCTTTTGATTAAGTACTTCATTAATAGCTGATTTATCTTTCCCCCCCTGTGAAATATTAGCGTGGTTTTTTGAAGTATTTATGTCTAATAACGTAGAAGCAGAATACCTTGACAGTTGTTGTCCTTGTTGAATAGGGCATGAAGAAAAAGTACTATTTGGAGGAAGCTGAATTTCACTTATTTGATTGTTCTGTACAATATATCTGTTTCGCCCAGTAATTTCCAATTGTTTATTATGAGGTTTATTCAGTTCCACTACGTTTTGTTTAACGAGAGTCTTTTTAGGGGAACCATGGACTGGCTTTTGAGGGGCCAAAGTCAAAGTAGCCTGAACGGTATTTGACGCGTTAGTTTTGGATGCATTAAATTGTGGCTCTAGGACGTCCATCATCGTTTTGGGTAGCGTTAATGTAACCCTAGAAGCTTCAGAAGAAGGCCTTCTCGAATCCATTATCGAGCTTAAACTACAAGCGCAATCTTCATTTGTAGGTTCCGAACATAAGAAAGGGTCTGTAATAAAAAAAGCAAAATATCGTAGTTGTTATAGAGTTATCTGTATTAATACACAAGTGTCAATAAAAGTGTTTATGTGTGGAAGCCATGCGGCAGCGTCTGTCCGTTGCATGAATGGGTACGCATGTCCAGGGAAGTTCTACGGTCTCACAGAAGATCTTCATTAGGGGCAAGTATAAATAGTTTTGCGTTTCATCTGGGAATTGATACCTTTGTTCCAGTTACTGCCGGCGTCCATTTATTAAAAACTGGTAACAATTCTGCAACCTTTCGTTTGTTGTTAATGTCCATGGACGGCGGTAATCAATTAACATTAGGTGAAAAGTCTGCTCGCTTGTCAACTTTTTAAATAAATTTATCTTATATAAAAGATGCTTACCGCTGCCAGATTTATTTGCACTAGAATTTAAAAATGAGCGCCGCCGCGCAAATTCTGCGGTATCTTGATACCTGAATGAGAAGAAAATAATATCAAGGGTAGCGTCAGCAATTGCGCGTAGAGTTACATTTATATAGAAGTAATATTGGCCTTATAAACAAATATCTAAGGTTTGCATGGTTTGTTTGTAGACAAATGACTTTTTGGATGACTCGCTTCGGGGGTCGTGAGTTAGATTCCCACACGGGACAACTATTTGTGTGACCCTCAGATAGTTGTTTTTTATCTGGGTGTCAAAGTCAATTAGTTGTCAAAAGGGCTGGTTTTTCTCTCGTTCAAAGGTTGAGCATAACTATGCAGCAAGAAAATACAACTGGCATTCCTGATACATTGCCGTGTGGGCTAGGTTTGTTCGATAGCATATCATTAAGTAAGAACTGAGAAATTTTTGTGTAACATTAATTACTGCATACTAATAATAAGTTCACATTATATAGCTGTAGCCTTAAACTAAAAACATTAAAAATATAATATAATAACTAAAATATGTAATAACATATGGGACTCCTTTTAAATAAAAAGGAGTCCCTTTGAATAGCTAGACTAATTCTTTGTCCGAGGTAGCTGCCAGCTCTTCGATCTTCTGTGACGTCGACTAACCTTTTTGCTATTTCCTTAAAAAGCCTTATAGCGCTAGGACCCCACGGACCAAGTCTCGACACCGAATGGGCCAAAAATATATTCGGAGCCTAAACCCCTGTATTTGCAAGCTTTAGCTTTCTCAGCCGCTTCACAAGCCACACCAGCTCTGTTGTTGGTTCCATGTAGATGGGAAGGTGCCAGCTTGTCTAAACAGGTTGCATCCCATACCAGCACCCAGCTATCAATCCATGGAATCAATCTCATACCGTCCGGTCTCTTGCCATCGTCTCTTGCAATGTCATTAAGTTATTATTTGATATTGTATGTTACTTTTTTTCAAAAAATGGTTGTGTATATGTGTATTATTGTATTATAGGTGCTTTTACCTATCCTCGAATATGACTGGCATGATGTGGGGATCGCCGTCTAGCGCGATACAGTGCACCGGCAGTGGTGGGAGCAGCGCGAGGTAGCGTGAGCGTCGTGCCGCCTCGCCCACGCTCTGGTACGACTGGTAGTTGCTGTCGTAGCAGCCGGCCAGCGAGTGTCGCGGGTTGTCCAGCACGAAGAAGCACTCGGAGAAGCGTTTGATGCTGGAATAGAAAAAGTACCGACTTGTCAAATCATCGCTTTCTGTGGTCTTACAAGCGCGCTTGTTCGTAGCCCATTCCGCTCGCAATAGTCGAGACGAACGCACGCCTTGGCACGCGCTCTCTCTGCTTTTGCTACCCCCCACCCCTATCCGCTTCCGCGTGCCGACTCGCTCGCCGCGGACGCTCAGTCGTCGCGCACCGCGCGCCGCTTTCACTCGTGATTTTTATTACGAGTGGGCACCCCGCTCGCAAGTCGAGTTGCGAGGTGCAGTTTTGACTGCGCCGACCAACGCGCTTAGCAGCGGTTCTGTTTTGAACGTCTTAGGGCTAGTGGATACCTAACGGTGCTAACGAAGCTAGCCAAGGCTTGCCCCGATCGCCTTGCAGTTCTCTCCTGAAAACCGCGAATTTTCGGAAGGGACCACCATCACTGGCCTTGGGTGTAGTTCCTAGTCAGCGGTGGTCCACGTTTGGCCCTTTAGCGCCCTCGGGTAGTTTTTAATTAGCTATAAGCACACATCCGCGTGCACAATAAGATCGGCACAAGGACGCACTAGGGTCACACAATTTAGGCACTCATCCTCCCTGCCTATACCCGGCAGGGAGGGATACGGACACACCCCGGCATCCCACCGGGCTTACTAAATAATTAAAAGAAAAAATGGCCGAAATTAAGGCCATATTAATGGCCCTTCAGGCTAAGCACCCGGAAGCCTTTAAAGATGCCCTTCAGGCACTTAAAGATTGTTCAAGACCCTCCTCAAGAGCATCCTCCACCTCGACCGACGATGTTGCAGCAAGCTCCTCCTCGCAAGAGGAAATGGAGCTAGACTCGCCCCTCTCTCCCGATGCTGACGAAAGAGGTTTGTTCACCGAAGTGGTGAACAAAAAGAAGCGCAAGAAGCGCACCTTCCAGCCGTCATCAACGGCCACGTCCCCCGTACCGCCAGTTAAGGCGTCAAGGCCAACCGAGTCGGCCGTAGCCGGGCACTGAGGGCCCTTAACGACCATCTTCGTTCAGGACACCTCAAAGTGGCCAATGATCGAGTCCGCCCTATCTAATAGGGTCAAATTTAGCGCCACGTCCACTACCCAAGGCATCAAGCTACAGCTTGAGACAGCCGACGTCCACAGGCAGGTTTCAAAATTCCTGCGAGACAAGGAGGTGTTTTACCACACCTACACTCTCGCAGAGGATAGAATTCTCCGCGTGGTTATTAAGAGGATCCCTGGAAACATATCCACCGACAGAGTGTTCGAATCACTCAAAAACCAAAACCTCCCGGTCCTTGCAGTCCATCGCATGAACAGTAGGCGCATGCGCACTCCCATAGACTTAGTCATGGTCCACCTTGAGTTGACCCCGGCAGGGAAGGAAATCTTCAACATAAATCCGTGCTAGGACTAGACAACATAGTCGTAGAACCCCCGCATAAAGGCGTGCTCCCAGGGCAATGCCATAAATGCCAAAAATACGGGCACGCAGCCCGTAATTGCTTCGCCAGGTCTAGGTGCGTCAAGTGCCTCGGAGACCACGGCACCCCAGGCTGCCCCCGGCCTAAAGATAAGGCACTCTTAGTGAGCTACGGGCCTCCCGCTTGCGTGCTGTGCCAAAAAGAAGGCCACACAGCCAACTACCTCGGCTGTCCCAACGCGCCTAAGCGCAGACCCACCAAACCGGCCCCTCAGGCCATCAGAAGACCACCCGTACCGACGGCTGCCTCCTTCCCACCTCTACGCCCCGCGTGGCAGAACCCTATGGCCCCCGCTTGGGCCAAACCTAATCCGCCTATCATGGCACCCAAACTAGCCGCACAGCCGGCTCCAATCCCAATCCCAGTCCCACCAACACCAGCGACCGGAAGTAACCCCCTGGACTCGCTGAGCCAACTCCTCCGAACCGTCAACATGGCGGAGGTTATGTATTTTGCCCAGCAATACGCTGAAGGCAACTTCTCCTCAAGACTCCTACTCCTGAACCAATACCAGCACATAGTTGCTGCGTTATCTGTCTAGGGACCCAAAATGGATAATACAACCCTAAACAATAATAATAATAGCACCACCAGTCTCTCTGCTACGCGTAATAATGGCAGAGTCAAACCGCGATCGATTAATGTAGCATTCTACAACGCGAACGGGCTTAAAGAGCAACGCGACGAAATACGTATTTTCTTACGCGACCACCAAATCGATATACTTCTCATTCAGGAGACGTTCCTGAAACCCGCGACAAGGGATCCGAACATCCCCAATTATCGAATAGTTAGGAACGATCGTGTCGGGCGGCGGCACACTTATATACTATAAAAAATCTCTCCATTGCGTACCGGTAGTCAGACGGAGGCCTCGAGATGCGTGAGCGCGGGTCACGCATCTCGAGGCCTCCGTCTGTCAGCTGGCTTTAACCGGCCACTCTCCTATCACCATAGCATCAGTTTACCTCCCTTGTAGACCAACCGCAACAATATTGCATTCAGATTTTGAGGCCCTCTTCTCTATAGGAGGAGCCACCATCCTAGCTGGCGACTTCAACAGCAAGCACACCCGATGGAACTCGACACGTACCAACAGTCGAGGCACCGCACTCGACTCGCTATCCGACAGGTTCGACTTTGAAGTCGCTGCCCCCGTCGAACATACGCGCTTTCCTTACGTAGAGGGACACACATTGGATGTGCTTGACATTGCACTCGTCAAAAACATCAGTCTCTCCTTATGCGAACCGGAAGTGATACACGAGCTTCACTCCGATCACCGACCAGTTCTCCTCCGGCTAGGGCCTTCAGCAACAGCCGCTCCCCTAACCAAAAAATTGTCATCAGCTGGCATAAAATCAAATCTAAATTTAACGAACCTAATCCTCCACAACTAGAGTCAATCCCTAGAGAATTGAATACCAAACAGGACACGGAAACCGCAATTCGAGCCCTCACAAGCCACGTCAACACCGTCGTTGAGCAATGCTCGAGACAGGTCCCGGCGATGGAAAACCATCGCTGGGCCCTGCCAGATGATGTGCGAGACTTGCTGAGACGCAAGAATGCGGCCACTCGAGCCTTTAATGGATATCCCACCGACTCGAATCGTAGACTGCTACGTAAATTGCAGCGTGAGGTCAAAACACGCATAGCAGACTCACGAAACGAACGATGGGACTCCACCCTAACTTCAGTAAAACCATCCCACGTAGCCTTCTGGAAACTTCCCAAATCCCTCAAGGGTAACGGCATAACAACCATGCCGCCACTAGTCCGTCCGATAGGTACGCCAGCAATGCTGGACGAAGAGAAGGCCGAATGCCTGGCTGACAGCCTAGAGTCTCAATGCTCCCCCAGTCTGCTTCCGATCGACCCCGAACACCTCCGCAAGGTGAACGAAGAGGTAGAAAGGAAAGCCTTAGAGCCACTTCGCGATCCCGTTCCCCCAGTCACGTGCTCCGAACTAATAGACACCATTAATAAACTACGCCCGCGTAAAGCACCAGGCTCAGATGGTATCACCAATAAGGTGACCAAGCTCCTCCCTACTAGCATCCTTCAGATACTAGTACTAGTATTTATTTACAACGCGGCCTTAACCGAAGGCTTCTTCCCATCCGAGTGGAAGGAAGCCGATGTCATAGGGTTCCTCAAACCCTCTAAACCCGCCACTCTCCCAACCTCATATCGTCCAATAAGTCTTCTCAAAACATTTGGGAAGATCTTTGAAAGAAGAAGAAGAAGAAGAAGAAGAAGAAACGTTTATTCACGGTCTAAGCACAAATAGATACATAGAACACTTAAAAATAATAATGTAACTACACATTATATAAAATAATATTAGAATAACTTAAAATAAATGTAAACATAACAAAAAAACTAAAAATAATAATAATAATAAGTGAAGGTCTGTGTAGCAGCATAAGACCGTGAAACGGACGGGACTCGGTTAAAGTCGAGATACAGTAACTAAGATTCGTTCTGATCCCGACGCCGGTTTTCAGTCCGCCCGCACTTCGAGACAACTCGGACGGCTGCGTCAGTGCACTTGTAATACATACCTACAACGCAGTATAGCGATAATTAAATTATTTTTGTTTGAACCTTTCAATTATATAGACAGTGGATATCATTTGTCTGAAGAGGTAAGTAAAAAATTAGAACTAATGTTATCTTATTTGATATTGGTGTCAGCTGCTTTATTTCCATTTTGGTTTTAGGTTACCAATATTTATCCCTACTCTTTGGCACTGTGACATTTACCGATCGAGCAGTGGACACGTGACTTAATTTGAAACGTAAAACGCGAGACAGACCTCGTTGCGCGTTGGCCACATGATAAAGGTAAGAAAATGAGTGTCTTATAAGTATATAAATTATGATATATGTTTATAAAAAAAATATAATGTATATATATTATATTAAATTATATTGTATCAAATCATATTACATTGTATTTTATTATATTATATTATAGCGTATAATTAAGCTGATAAGAATTAGAATTAAACGGCAGCATTTTTTTGTTCTAGAAGTAGATACAATTTGTACTTGTTTTTAAAACCAGTTATTGTTTTCAGGGTCGCGCAAGGGAGGCGGGAGGTTGTTCCAGCACTTAGTGGCATTGTATTTGAAACTGCCTCTAAAAGCGGCCGAACGGTAGAAAGGATAAACTAATTTATAATTAGATGATCTCGTATTATACATCTCATTTTGATCTTTAGCCCAAATCAACTTATTGTAAAGATATAACGGCTCTTTGTTTCTAATAGTTCCAAATAAAAGTGAGGCGAAGTGTAGTCGTCTGCGGAGGTCCATCTTTAGGATATTTGCGTTATTGATAAAAGGCGTTACATGTGCACGTGGAGGTATATTAAAACAGAAACGTGCACAGGCGTTCTGTACCCTTTGTATTATTTGCCTTGTTCGTGATAACAGACGTGGGCCTAAGAGGGAATCCGCGTAATTGAATTTTGAGAGAACGAGAGATTCGCATAGATTGATACGTAAGGAAACACT